TTTGTGAGTCAAGAATTGTAAGTCCAAACAGCACAGTGGGAACAAACATGGCAGTCAAGAAAAACCCAGACACAATAACACAAAATTATCAAACTTTTAAACGATAAATAAATATATTGAATAAAAACAATGAATTAAAATAGTTAATTAAAATATATCATAAAAGGCCAAGACCACAGAAAACATAACTGCCCCCAAAAAACTAGATGAATGCCTGAACAAATAAATGAGTCGAGTTCGCTCTCAAACTTGTCAAAAGAGTCAATGAAACCCAGAGCAGAGGGTAGATCATTCCAGAGTTTAGGAGCTACAGCTTCGAAGGAACGGTCACCTGTAGTGCAAAAGTAAGTGTGAGGAACGTTAATCAAATGAAGATTCATACATCTCAGAACCCACGCAGGTGTGTAGGGTTTGATCAGATCTCTAATGTAAGAGGAAGCCTATCCATGCAGGGCTCTGAAAACCAGAATATTAAACTTAAACCTAAAAGACACAGGCAGCCAATGAAGATCCTTTAGGATGGGGGATATGTGAGACCCCCTATTAGTGTGCATCAGGGTTCTCACTGCCAAGTTCTGCACTAATTTCAGACATTGGTGCTCCTATTTATTTTGTAGGGAGACGTGGCAGCAAGATGGCTATTTTGTACATTTCAATGAAATATGTCCACTAAACTGCTCTGTGTTTACCACACCATGCCCTGCACGTCATGGTGGAGGTCTTGCTGTGGTCTTTAAGGACAAACATGTCTGTAATCTGGTGAAAAATGGCCCTTTTACAACTTTTGAATGTCAGGTCATCAAAGCAGGGTTACAAAATGTATTTCACTGTATTTTAATCTACCGACCTCCCGGTCCAGCTGGCCCTTTTCTTTCTGAATTTGGAGAATTTCTATCATCAATGATCAAACTAGAAAAAGTTTTAATCCTTGGTGATTTTTAACTTACACATTAATTATCCTAATTGTAGCACAGCAGTGGAGTTCATGTCTACTATGGAGTATTTTAACTTTGAGCAGCACGTTTCCGTCCCCACACACAAAATGGGCCACACTCTAGATCTTGTTTTCTCTTTGGGACTAAAAATCAATCATTTACATATTGAAGAGTTTCATGTGAGTGACCACAGCTGCATTTTCTTTAATGTCCTATCTAATGTTGAATCTGTCCCTCACAACCTAAAATCAAAGAGACGTATCATTAATCAGTCAGACTCGGACCAAAGTTTTTGAGTGACCTTCAAGAGACACTGATTGGTCAAAAATAACACACAAATTCCTTAAGTTTGTCTTGATGGCAGAGGATAAATGACCACGTTTTTGACTAATCAGGGGAACCATGCTCTCAGGGGCAATGACCAGACATTCAGTCTTTTCAGAGTTTAACTGAAGGAAGTTATCTTCTAGCCAGCTGGTGATAGCTGAAAGACACTAGTAATTCAGACAGTTTATAGAACTCAGAATCCTTAAAAGAGCAGTACAGCTGAATGTCATCTGCATATAGGTGATGAGAGACATTTTGAAAAGAATCAAGTATCTGTCCAAGAGGGTGTATGTACAGCAGAAACAACAGTGGACCCAAAACAGAGCCTTGGAGTACCCCACAGAACAGATCAGTAGAATCTGACATGATTTGGTTTATACAGACACTGTAACTTCTGTTAGAAAGGCACAATCGAAACCAGTCTAGAACAAGCCCCCACAATGCGGGACAGAAATTGAGGCCAATGTGGAAGTGAAATAAATTGCAGTTCCACCCTCATCCGCTGGGGGCTGGTGTCAGAAGCGAGCAAATCCTCGTTGACTCCCATGTTAAAAATACCAATTTCACAGCAGAAATAAACATGTTTACAGCCTGGTACCAAAACATGTTTTTGGTTTAAACAATCTAGTTTGCACTCATGACAACTCTGAGGGGGGGGACTTTTTTTCTCACTCTTCTGTTTAAGTGTATTAAAAGCCTAACATTCTGTATAATTAATGAGCATCACACCCACGTGACCACAGAGCTTGCTCCGGGGAAAGGCCTCAGTCTGAGCCTCGTTATCGACTGAAAACCGTTCTGTCATTTTCAGTCTCTCAACTTAGACCATTAGTTGTAGCGTTTGTGCATTCGTTTTTGGATATTATTTGTGCAATTGTTGGACAAAATGACTTGCTGTGGTATTGATTGCACGAATAGAGCATCCAAGGAGTCTCCACTTCATTTTTTTCAGTAAGTAAAATTATATTTATGTATTTTAGGTCACTGCCGGGCTGAGCTTAGATTTTAACATGTACTATTTAACCATGGAATTTAAATGTAATAGGGTAAAACCCAGTGCATTTAACATAATGCTGCACTTTAGAAAATGGGTTGAAATATAACACGTTGGTGGAGCTGGATTCCGACTATCGGCTTGTGGAGCTCTCGGGAGACCTCTGTTTTCCACCCGTTTCTCCCCTCCCCACAGCTCGGCGCATCTCTGATCGCCGCGGCTCCTGTCTGCTGCGCAGGCTGCCGGCTTGTGGAGCTCTCGGATGGAAACCGATGTTTTCCACCCGGTTCTCCCCAGCGGCAGCTCTGCGCATCTCAGATCACAGCGGCGCTTGTCTGTTGCGCGGCTGCCGGCTTGTGAAGCTCTCGGGAGACTTCTGTGTTCCACCCGGTTTTGCCCAGCGGTCAGCCCGGCATATCTCAGACTCAGAAGCTCTGGTGTTGTGCACAGTTATCTTCGGTTGTAGCTAGGTTGCTACCTCCGTTAGCTTAGCTCCCACCTCCGCGTTAGCTTTGGGTTAGCTTCAGGTTAGCTTGTAGCTAGTTTGACCGGGTATCGTCAGTTGATCCCAGCCTTACAGCCCCACCCTCAGCTCCACCTCTCTTCCCCTTTGTGGAATTGTCTGGGCTTGATGGAACCTGTGACACGGTCAAAATGGTGGTTGTGGCCACCTCCCATTTCCTCTCAAAAATGTGGTATTGGAGCCTATGGAAATGAATTGTCCAGTATATATGTCGATGGTCTAGAACAGTTCCAGAGACACCCACTGAGTCACCAAGTCTGTTAAGGTGCTGTGATCAACAGTGTCAAACCCAGCAGAAAGATCCAACAAATCTAACACTGTGAATTCCCCATTGTCTGCAGCCATCATGATGTAACTGGAAACTTTAAGCAAAGCTTTTTCTGTTGAATTCTTTTTCCAAAAACCAGACTGGAATTCATCAAAACCGTTGTGTAGTTCCAGAAAAGTAATCAGTTGATCTGCAACAACCTTTTCCAGTATTTTATAGATAAAGGGTAATTTAGAAATGGGTCTGTAATTTTTAGGCTGAGATGAGTCCAAACTTGTTTTTTTAAGCATAGGTTCAATAACTGCATGTTTTAATACAGATGGTACAGAGCCAGATTGTAGAGATAAATTAATAAAATCTACAATGGATGGGCCAGTTTGGTCAAACATCCTGATTAATAAGATAGTAGAAATGAAATCAGCAGGGCATGAGGTTGGTTTCATGTGTTTCTGAATGAGGCAAATTTATTGACACCATAGTTTTAATCTTCAGTTGAAAAAAGCAGTTTGTCATTAGCTGCTTACAGTGCTGCACGAATGACATTTCACTGTCGAAGATGACTCCTAAGTTTCTAAGGCTGGACTTCAAAGACTGGCCTGAATCCTCCAGGTACTCTGTAATACCTGGGATAGTATCAACAGGGGAAACAACCAGAGTTTCTGTTTTGTTAACATTTAGCTGCAGGGAATTTCCATTAAGCCATTTCTTTATCTCCTTTATTTAGCAAAATTTTTAACTTGTTCAGCTCAGACTGCTTAAAGGAGCAAGCAAGCAAGCAAGAAGCAAGAAAGCAAGAAAGAAGCAAGAAAGCAAGAAAGAAGCAAGAAGCAAGAAGAAAGAAGCAAGGAGCAAGAAGCAAAAAAAGGAGTAAGAAGAAAGCAAGAAGCAAGAAAGCAAGAAGCAAAAAAGGAGCAAGAAGCAAGCAAGAATCAAGAAAGAAGCAAGAAAGAAGAAAGAAGCAAGCAAGAAGCAAGAAGCAAGCAAGAAGCAAGAAAGCAAGAAAGCAAGAAGCAAGAAAGAAGCAAGAAGAAAGCAAGAAGCAAGAAAGCAGCAAGAAGCAAGAAAGAAGCAAGAAGCAAGAAAGAAGCAAGAAAGCAAGAAAGCAGCAAGACGCAAAAAAGCAAGAAAGCAGCAAGAAGCAAAGAGCAAGAAGCAAGAAAGAAGCAAGAAGCAAGAAAGCAAGATGCAAGAAGCAAGACAGCAAGAAAGCAAGAAGCAAGAAGCAAGAAAGCAGCAAGAAAGAAGCAAGAAAGAAGCAAGAAAGCAGCAAGAAAGAAGCAAGGAAGCAAGAAGGAAGAAAGCAAGCAAGAAAGGAAACAAGAAGCAAGAATGCAAGAATGCAAGCTATAAGCAAGAAGCAAGAAAGAAGCAAGAAGCAAGAGAGCAGCAAGAAAGCAAAAAAGAAGCAAGAAGCAAGGAAGCAAGAAGGAAGAAAGCAAGCAAGAAAGGAAGCAAGAAGCAAGAAAGCAAGCTATAAGCAAGTAGCAAGAAAGAAGCAAAAACAATAAAGCAAGAAGCTAGAAAGAAACAAGAAGCAAAAAGCAAGAGAGAAGCAAGAAGCAAAAAGAAAGAAGCAAGAAAGCAAGAAAGAAGCAAGAAGAAAGAAAGAAGCAAGAAGCAAGAAAGAAGAGAGAAGCAAGAAACAAAAAGCAAGAACAAAGAAGCAAGAAGCAAAAAGAAAGAATGAAGCAAGAAAGAAGCAAGAAAGAAGCAAGAAGCAAAAAGCAAGAAAGAAGCAAGAAGCAAGAAGAAAGAAGCAAGAAAGCAAGAAAGAAGCAAGAAAGCAAGAAAGAATCAAGAAGAAAGAAGCAAGAAAGAAGCAAGAAGCAAGAAACAAAAAGCAAGAACAAAGAAGCAAGAAGCAAGAAGCAAAAGCAAGAATGAAGCAAGAAAGAAGCAAGAAGCAAGAAAGAAGCGACAAGCAAGAAGCAAAAAGCAAGAAGAAAGAAGCAAGAAAGAAGCAAGAAGCATGAAGCAAGAAAGAAGCAATAAGCAAAAAGCAAGAAAGAAGCAAGAAGCAAAAATAAAGAAGCAAGAAGAAAGAATCAAGGAAGAAGCAAGAAAGAAGCGAGAAGCGAGAAACAAAAAGCAAGAACAAAGAAGCAAGAAGCAAAAAGCAAGAATGAAGCAAGAAAGAAGCTAGAAGCAAGAAAGAAGCAAGAAGCAAGAAAGAAGCAAGAAGCAAGAAGCAAGAAAGAAGCAAGGAGCAAGAAAGAAGCGAGAAGAAAGCAAGAAGCAAGAAGAAAGAAAGAAGCAAGAAGTAAGAAAGAAGCAAGAAGCATGAAAGAAGCTAGAAGAACGAAAGAAGCGAGAAGCAAGAAATAAGCAAGAAGCAAGGAGCAAGAAAGAAGCGAGAAGAAAGCAAGAAGCAAGAAGAAAGAAAGAAGCAAGAAGTAAGAAAGAAGCAAGAAGCATGAAAGAAGCTAGAAGAAAGAAAGAAGCAAAAAGCAAGAAAGAAGCAAAAAGCAAGAAAGAAGCAAGAAGCAAAAAAGAAGCAAGAAGCAAGAATGAAGCAAGCAAGAAGCAAGAAAGAAGCAAGAAGCAAAAAAGAAGCAAGAAGGAAGCAAGAAAGAAGCAAGAAGCAAGAATGAAGCAAGCAAGAAGCAAGAAGAAAGAAGCAAGAAAGCAAGAAAGAAGCAAGAAAGCAAGAAAGAAGTAAGAAAGCAAGAAGAAAGAAGCAAGAAAGAAGCAAGAAAGCAAGGAAGAAGCAAGAAAGAAGCAAGAAGAAAGAAAGAAGCAAGAAAGCAAGAAGCAAGATGCAAGAAAGAAGCAAGAAGCAAGAAGCAAGAAAGAAGCAAGAAGCAAGAAAGAAGCAAGAAGAAAGAAAGAAACAAGAAGCAAGAAAGAAGCAAGAAACAAGAAAGAAGCAAGAAGCAAACCTCCACCTAAACTTTGTGTGTGCTTCAGGTCGATGGGTATTCCACAGAGTTAGCTCTGGTTGAAGCTTGGTAGCTACATCCGTTAGCTTAGCTCCCACCTCCGCGTTAGCTTTGGGTTAGCCAGGGTTAGCTTCAGGTTAGCTTGTAGCTAGTTCGACCGGGTGTCGTCATTTGATCCCGGCCTTACAGCCCCACCCTCAGCTCCTCCTCTCTTCCCTTTTGTGGAATTGTCTGGGCTTGACGGAACCTGTGACACGGTCAAAATAGCGGTGGTGGCCACCTCCCATTTGGCCTCAAAAACGTGTTATTGGAGCCTATGGAAATGAATTGTCCAGTATATATGTCGATGGTCTCACCAGACGCCAATAAACGTGTCGTGTGCCCGGAAGTAACTCAAGACGGGTTTGATCGGAACCGCGGCTTTTCCTACCAGCTCGGTTCCAGAGGGGGTTCACTGGGCCTCAATATTCCTGATCTACAGAGGACTTCCACCGAAGGCAAGGTAGACCAGCATGATGGTGTCTCATATGTTTCTGAAGCTAACAAAAGCTTAATGCGAAAACAACATCTTCAATTCCCATCAGAACAATCGCTTCTTCGGATTTGCTGGTTCTGATTTAACATCACGGGTCATCCATCCACCATCTCATCCATTTTTAGTTACACTGTACATTTAGTTTTATAGTCAGTCTAGTTTAATTTGTTAGTAATCTTTCACCATGAAGTGAGTGGTATCTCAAGTTTTATTCATTTTAGATTTTGCACTTCTGACTTGGAGAACATCTATTGAGCTAAACCTACCACCACTAATGCTCCTTACCTCATGACCATGCTTCAGAAATATCCATCTATGTACCTGTCAGAGTAAACAGAGGTGACTGCTCCTCTGTGGCTCACTCTACTCTAATGCTTTGCATTAATGTGCTGTATTGACCCAGGTTTGATGGCATGCTTTGCATTTACAGATCCTAACATCATGTGTTTTACCAAGTAAGTAGAATGAAAAATTGCTTCTATGTTTGGAAGCAGTGCTCATGAACTGTATAGGTCCGCCTGTGCTTTTCCCATCTCGATAAATAAATTTTCATTGCTTGATTGGTTACCATCACTGTAGCATTTCACCAGAAATAAAAGATTATATTAATATTTATGTACTGGTCTTCCCCAAAGAATTAAACTTGTTAACGTTGTGTCTTAATAACTTATTTCCTTCAATGAGCACCAAACAGAAACAAAAATGGAAGTCACCAGCTGGAGTAAATGATTGACAGTTCAATTTTCACTCCTCACTTTGACCTTCTGCAGCTTTCTGCTCAGCCACTTCTGACTATCCCAGTACTTATCCCATCAATCAGCTGATACACAGTCATTAAGGTGGACAGATTGATTTACTTCCTTAAATGCATTTTGACACAGCTGAAGATGAAGATGGAGGAAGCTTCAGTAACAGAAAAGAGATGAGAGAAAACTTCTGGGAAGATAAGAGAGAAATGATAAGAGCAGGCAAAAGGTTTCTAAAGGAAACAAACGACCAGAGAAAGAAAGAGATTAAAAAAAGCAAAGTGTGAAACAAGAAGAGAGAAGATAAAAAGAAGATAAGAGAAAATAAAATATTTTCTGAATGTTTATAATGTCAAAGTGAAATTTGTGATGAAGGGAGATGAAGATATAAAATAAAATCTAAAAACATCACACAGGAGGGGAAAGTGTCTGAAAAATCAAAAAAGCAAAAGTTATAAATCATATTTACAGCCTCAAAATGTTTTGGTTGTTCCAGACACAATCATATATTCATAACATTTTATTTACTGATATAAGTAAAGTGGTGACAGTTCATCACAACCTTACACTCAGGAATTTTTCCTTTAGGGGTCTACTTTCAATCACCTCCACATTCTGACAGCAACCTGCAGCTACATGCACACTGAGACCAACGCATCATCACCATTACTGAAAAACTGTCACAGCCAATCAATGGCAGCTTTTGGTGTTTTACTAAAAAACCAGAATACTTCACACCCTCACACACAGATTGGCGTGGCATGTCGCCACACTGATGAATGACTCTGTCGCTTCATGTTCCAATAACAAAGCTTTGCTCTTTCCCCGTGCCTCACAGCATGATGCCAAATTGAAAGTCTGAGATTAAAGGCACAAAAGTGGTACAAAAAAGGGCCTTTTTTTGATAATGTCAGACAATTTGAAAAGGTCCATATGTGATAATGTCACAGCTGTCACAGGTAAAAGCCCCCAGTGAGAGACAATAATGAGCCTGAGAGTGGGGGACGATGGCAGAGTAACTGCTGTGGTTTAATTGTCTGTTGACCCAAATAGAACACTCTGCAAATGCACCACGCTCTGAAAACTGCCTTTGGATATTCCAAAGGAATTTTAACATTAAAGCAAAACTCTGTTTTAGACATTTATTTTTGACTTATCGGCTTTTCAATTAAGAAGTGATGAGCAGGAAATGATTTAATCAAATCTGATCTTTGTTAGACTTGCTCAGAAGAAATTCGCTCTTAGACAAAACCTGTTAACACTTTAAGGTCTGCCTTTCTCCCTTTTAAACCCAGTGTGAGATGAACATTCAATATGACAAAGAAACAAGGTCTGATTTATTTTTTACAAATCAAACAAAGCAGTAATTTGCATTGAAAATGTCATGTCACATAGCTCTTAAAGCATACAAAAGATCTTATTACTTATGATTTAAAAATTAAATGTAACAAATTATTTGTTTATGCTTATGTTTATGTACTTAGCAGACACTTTTGTCCAAAGCAACTTACAGGTGATAATCAAGCCATCAGGTTTCCCTTGAGGCTAACAACAAATTGTTTTAACTTGTAATAAATTTGATCCAGGAAAAGGAACCCACAAATCTGCAAGACGTGAGAGACGTTAGCATTTCACTTTCCTTTATGATGCTATCTCATAGCAGGATTGCAGCCAAGGTTGAATATGAAGCACATGGCCCCTCCACTAGACATGCTCCACTGAACCTCTGCAGCCCTGGCCAGTCTGGTGGCATGCCATTCATAGCACTCTGTTAGTTTGGTGGGCCATTCATAGCACTCTGTTAGTTTGGTGGGCAGGATGTTACTGCAACAGCGAAATGAAGCTGGTGACAGCTTGTTTGAAACAGCTTGGGCATCAACTTTGGACTATTTATACTTGGGCTTTCCCTTGAGTCAAAAGCAGAGTTTATTTAGAAAAAGGATACTCTTTGACAATGTATGACAGACTTCCCCATTGACTGACATTCTTACGTGGGAATACGTCACGTTATTTGCTATCCGATAGCATGCAGAGACTGTAGACCATATATCCCATCCCACCACTAAGATTCATCAATGGGTCGTGGCCAGGCTTTATATTCACATATATAGAATGGCTTGCCAGGCTAGCATTTCCACATTTTAGAAACCAATGTAATCCCTAAATAAATAATAATTGTTGGTGCATGACATCTTGCATGCAAAATCACTGAACCATTTTGGTGTAAAGTTGCACCAATATATCACAAAAGGTCTTATATAAATATACTTGAGATTTCCTAAATGTATTTGTATTTATGATACTTGCTCATTCCACAATACTTAAAACTAGCAAGTAAATAAAGGAAGTGAAAAAGAGACTCTTAGGTCGCACCCTGGTGTAAACATTTTGATTAATATCACAAAGCTGTAGTGACCTGCTTTCAGGAAGCACCATTCACTCACCACTCTGTGCCTCTAATGACACCCTCATCTCTCTTGGCAAATGGCAGTGACTCACTCTAAACTTTTAAGAGTGATTCCTTACTCTCAATAAATTGGTCATTTACAAGAGACCAGCAGTGCAGTGTGTCTGAACACAGAGACTCAGAAAACAACTAGAGTCTCAGAGAGCCAATTTCAGAGGGAACTGGACAGTAACACTGAATGTCAAGCATTCAGCCTACAAAAAAGCCTTAAAAAACATCTTTCAGGGGTAGGCACGATTTTCAAGTGTTACGATTAACCTAAACTATTAGTTATTATATAAACATTGAATGTGTGGTTATGACTGTTAATGTCAGTCTGAAAAGAAACATTCCAATAGAAGGTAGATGGTTCAAAGTGGTCATGTAAACAAATGGAAAATTACACAAAAAATAAACAGATGAAAGAAAGAATGGAAAGATTTAGGTACCTTATTTAAATAAAGCTTGTGCAAGCTTGGTTTACTTTCTTGTGATGTAGAAGCATCCAATCATTTCTAGTAGCTCCCTGCAGCTACGAGTGCTCCTTTTCTTTTTTCTTTTTATTTTTTATTTTTTTGCAAAGTTTGACTTCAATCACTTCTTGCATTAGAAAAATTTTCCATTCTGGCATGCAGCTACTGTATTATTGCTTTGCCTGTGGGTTTCATTACTGGCTGGAATAATAAATGACAGTAAAGTAGATGGAATAGGCAGATAGCAAAGCCAGATATTAAAAATGAAATGAGATATGCAATCTCTACATAAATGTGCAGTAAAACACCACACAGGGCAAAGGTCTGAGCAGAAAAAGCCTGGTCTCAGACATACCTAACCTGATTGAAAGTTGTGGACATCCCAGTGCACACTGGTTCAAACAGTGAAGTGAACCATAAGCTTCTTAATTGTGTTCAAACTCAAGAGGTCAAACTCGTTAAATAAACAGGGGCTTCGTGTTACTTTATAATTTAACAACGGACTTAGAAAATAGGAGATTGTAATTGAATGACCACTTTAGTTTAACTTGGTTTGCACTGGATGAGACCTGGATCTTAATCTGTGTGAGAAGCATTTTAATATTTCATAGTTTTATATCTAGAACAAGCAAACCTTTTTTCTTAATGCCAGTAGAGACTCTGAACTATCAGAGTTTCTCAAAGACTGTGATTTTGAATGACAAAAATTGATAAACATGATGTTAGGTCAGACTGGGACTCAGCAGACAAGACATGCAGTTCAGCTGTATTGTGTAAGCGTGGAGTAACTAGTGTTGGGCGGGACAGACACAAGGTGCATATAGGAATTGTAGTGTGCAACTCAAAAGGAAATGAGAGCGTACCGCAATTCCAGAAAAAGAAAGGGAAAACTGGTTGCTCTGGAAATTCTGGACAAGGTTCTAGTGGAACGATCACTGTTCGGTGAGAGGAAGTAAGGCACTTCCATAGGCTAGAGTGGTCATGTGAGCAGTGATGTCCGGTGAGTGACCTGCTGGGTAATGAAGTCTTAGGGGTTGGTGTGGTGGGAGGTAAGGTGCTGGGGAGAGGGAATTTTGACATTAACCACCCCCTCAGGGGCGGCTCCAGAAGGCCCAGGGAGGTGTGACCCGTAGTCGGTGATGAG